ATAGGCAAAAGGTAGAAAGAACCCAAATGTCCATCAATGGGTGGATGGATAAACACAATGTAGTCCACCTATCTGGCAGAATATTACTCAGCCATGAAAAGGAGAGAAGCACTGACACTGGCTACAACGTAGATGAACCTTGGAAACATGATGCTCAGTGAGGGGGCTAGACACAAAAGGCCATAGAGTGTGTGATTCCATTTATACAAAACATCCAGAACAGGTCAATCCACAGAGACAGAGAGTGGGTTTGTGGTTGTCAGGGGCTGGGGAGGGGTGTGCGGAGTGGCTGCTAATGGGGACGGGGTTTTCTTTAAGGGTGATGAAAATATTTTGGAACTAGATAGAGACGATGGTTGTACAACATTGTGAATGCACTAAATGCACTGAATTGTACATCTGAACATGCAGGGGGAGGTTGGTCTTCATATGTCAGACTTTTGCAATTAAAAAAGTAGAAAGACACCTCATCATGGACAGCTGAGGAAGCCGTGCAGATGACGTCTGTCTGCTCCTCAGGAGTGCCTTAGCTCAAGGCCTCTAGAAGACCTCTGCTGAAATGTCCTTTTTTTCAGGCAGGGGATAATGAAGTTTATTTAGTTACTTTTAATGTAGGTACCGGGGACCGAACCTGGGACCTTGTGCATGCTAGGCACGCACTCTACCACTGAGCTGTACTCTCCCCCCTGAAATGTCCTTTTGATAGGTGTGTTTAGCCCTAAACCTCTCATTCATTATGATACAAAAAGAACCCAATGTGCAATTAATTTAGGGGCTTTTAAAAAGAAGGGAGTGTGCCTTCATCTTTGGCAGGGAATTCCCTTGAAATGCCGTCTTGTCACCGCGGGGTGATTCAGTGAGGTACTAAATGTGTGGCACCTCCCCTGTGGTCCGTCCTCTAGGTCTTCGCTCCCACGTGCATGGCTTTAAAACATATCTGCAAACTTATCGACATCCCTCCCACATCTAATTCCCTTCCCCGAGAGGGTGGCGTCTTGATCCTCTCCCTTCAGAGGGGGCAAGACTTAGCGACTTCCTTCCAGCAAATAGAATGGGTGTAAGTGACTTACTAAAGCTACATGATTCCTGTCTGCAAATACAGTCGTGTTGCGGGTTAGGGCTTCAGTGAATGAACTTGGGGGGGACCCAATTCAGCCCCCAGCAGTCACTCACCGTGGGGCAGTCTGCTGAGCCCAGATGGACAACGAGAGTGACTGCAACACCGCTTCTTTCAAACACTCTACGTGAAAAATCCCTGTCTATGAACGAAGCATCCCCCAACCTCCTCCCCCTCTCCCCAGCCAGGTACAACCCACCGTCGCCTGGCCTCCCACACCCCCCATCACACACGCTGACTCAGATTCCCTCCTGCCGTCAGATCCCTCGGTGTCTGTCTCGCTCGCTGCTACATCGTTAGCTTCCAGCATGTGGCCCAGCACCTAGTAAGTGCTCAGAATAGAAATAAGCATGGCTGAATGAATGAAATAAAGATACCAATGCCTCAGGCTGTGCAAAACAACATCAATCTATTTATCCCTTCAGGGAAGGGAGACACGTTGAGGTTGTTTCTTAAGAAACTAAACTGTGGCATCTTCCCCAATGAACAGGCAGCTCCCCAGAGAGGCAGCAGACAGTAAACAAACTCTTGGGGGAACTGAGCGATTTGGTTAGTGATTATAGACGTGCAGTTTAAAGCCACAAGCTACATTTAAGGCTGTTCTGGTTACCACTGCTGCATCAAACGATTCCAAGACACACAGGCTTAAAACAATGATTTTTTTTCTGTCCGACAGATTCTGTCAGTCAAGAATCTGGACAGGCTCAGCTTCTGTGACATGCGGGTGGTGACTGCGCTGGAGGGTCCCAGATGGCTCCCCTGACGTGGGGGACCCAGCCCTGAAGCGGGGAGCTGGAAGGCAGGGCTCAGCTGGGGCAGCGGGCCTGAGGGGCTACCCGCGGCCGTCCGGCATGAAGGTCTTTGGACGGTTGACTTCTTTCATGCTGGCTGACTTCCCAGAACGGGCATCTCAGGAGAACCCGGGGACCTTTTATGTCCTAACCTCGGAAAACCCTGCACCATTTCTACTTTTACGGGAGAGCTCAAAGCAGGCACGTGCCCACCTACCTTCTACATTCAGGGGGCACAGACATAAACCCCACCTCTTGATTTCAAAAGTGCCTCAACACCTATTAGACTATCAGAGAAGAAAGAGGCAGCGCAGGAAGGAGGGAGGCTTCAGGAGAACCGACCCTCCAACAGGCGCCCTCGGGCTCCAGCCTCCAGAGCTCTGAAACGGTGAACAGCGGCCACGCGAGCCGCCCAGTCGGCCTCGGTCGGCCTGGGACTGCTGTCAGCAAAGCGCCAAGCGCCAAGCGCGTTTCTCCTGCACAGCGCAGGGACTATGTCCGATACCTTGTGGTAACCCACAATGAAAAAGAACGTGAAAAGGAACACATGTGTGTGCATGCATGGCTGAGACATGATGCTGGGCGCCAGACACCGGCGCAACACTGAAAACTGACCACACTTCAATTAAACGAAACGAAACAAAGCAAAACAAAACGCCACAGACCCAGCAGATCATAAACGGCAGAAACCTGTTTTTCACAGTCTTGGAGGCCGCGAAGTCCGAGATCAGGGTGCAGGCACAGTCGTGTGAGGGCTCCCCTCCCCCTGGGTCCTCACATGCGGGAGGGGCTGGGGAGCTCTCCGGGGTCCGTCCTCAGGGCGGAGTCCCACTGGGGAGGGTTCCACTCCACCCTCCTGACCTAATCACCTCCCGGAGCCCCCACCTCCTAACACCATCTCGCTGAGGGGGGTAGGATTTCAGCATATCAATTGGGGGGCGGGACACAGACATTCACCGGTAACACAGGCCTAGCAAAACGAATATACTTTTCATTTAATTTCTCACCAGCTTCCCCTACTTGAACCAGATTCCGCAGTTAAGGGGGGTTCGTCTATTTTTCTCCCAGTTGTCTCCCAGCTCCTCAAAGCGTGCGGAACACCCTGGAAACCTCATGAAATATTTATGGACTGAATGGGTGCATCTAATCTTTGGCACTGCTATCTTCGCGTCTTTTCTATTATTTTCTCTATTTTTCTGATCGTTTAAAATATGTTCTTATGAAAACGATTTTAGAGCGCCCTACGACGAAAGCCCCCCAG